CTCGATTCTGTTCCATTGATCTATGTGTCTGTGTTTTTGCCAGTACCATGTTGTTTTGGTTATTATAGCTTTGTAGTATATTTTAAAATCAGGCAGTGTGATACCTCCAGCTTTGTTCTTTTTTCTCAGGATTCCTTTGGCTATTTGGGATCTTGCATTGTTCCATATAGATTTTAGGATTCCTTGTTCTATTTCTGTGAAAAATGTTGTTGGAACTTTGATAGAAATTGAATTGAATCTATTTATTGCTTTGGGTAGTATGGACATTTTAACCATTTTAATTCTTCCAATCCAAGAGCATGAAATATCTTTCCATTTTTTTGTGTCTTCTTCAATTTCTTTCAACAATGTTTTATAGTTTTCACTGTACAGATCTTTCACCTGTTTGGTTAAGTTTATTCACAGGTATTTTATTCTTTTTGTTGCAATTGTAAATGGGAGTGTATTCTTAATTTCTCTTTATGCTGCTTAATTGTTGGTGTATAGAAATGCAACTGATTTTTGTATGTTGATTTTGTATCCTGCAACTTTGCTGTATTCATTTATTATTTCTAAAAGTTTTTTGGTGGATTCTTTAGGGCTTTCTATATATAAAATCATGTCATCTGCAAATAGTGACAGTTTCACTTCTTCCTTTCCGATTTGGATCCCTTTTATTTATTTTTCTTGCCTGATTGCTCTGGCTAGGACTTCCAATACTATGTTAAATAGGAGTGGTGAAAGTGGGCATCCTTGGCTGTTTCCTGTTCTTAGAGGGATAGCTTTCAGTTTTTCTCCATTGAGAATGATATTAGCTGTGGGTTTGTCATATATGGCCTTCATTATGTTGAGGTACTTTCTTTATATACCCATTTTATTCAGAGTTTTTTTCATAAATGGATGCTGTATCTTGTCAAGTGCTTTCTCTGCATCTAGTGAGATGATCACGTGATTTTTATTCTTCATTTTGTTAATGTGGTGTGTTATGTTGCTTGATTTGCGGATGTTGAACCCTCCTTGCATCCCTGGAAAAAATCCCACTTGATCACAGTGTATGATCTTTTTAACATATTGTTGTATTCGATTTGCTAGTATTTTGTTGAGGATTTTTGCACCAATGTTCATCAGTGATATTGGCCTGTAATTTTCTTTTTTTGTGCTGTCCATGTCTGGTTTTGGTATCAGGGTAATGTTTGCTTTGTAGAATGAGTTAGGAGGCTTCCCTCGCCTTCAATTTTTTGGAAGCATTTGAGAAGGATAGGTGTTAAGTCTTCTTTGAATGTTTCGTAGAGTTCACCAGTGAAGCCATCTGGTCCTGGACTTTTATTTATTGGGGAGGTTTTTGATTACTGTTTCCATTTCCTTACTGCTGATTGGTCTAGTCAAATTCTCTATTTCTTCTTGATCCGGTTTTGGGAGGTTGTATGATTCTAACAATTTATCCATTTCTTCTTGGCTATCCAATTTGTTGGTGTATAGCTTTTCATAGTGTTCTTTTATAACATTTTGTATTTCTGAGGTGTCTGCTGTAATTTCTCTTCTTTCATTTCTGATTTTATTTATTTGAGCCTTCTCTCTTTTTTCTTGGTGAATTTAGCTAAAGGTTTGTCAGTTTTGGTTATCTTTTCAAAGAACCAGCTCTTGGTTTCATTGATTTTTTCTACCGATTTTTTTTTAGTCTCTATTTCATTTATGTCTGCTCTGATTTTTATTATTTCCTTCCTTCCACTGATTTTGGGTTTTGTTCTTCTTTTTTCAGTTCCTTTAGGTGCACTGTTAGATTGTTTATTTTGGATTTTTCTTGTTTGTTGCGGTAGGCCTGTATTGCTATAAACTTCCCTCTTAGAATCGCTTTTGCCGTACCCCATAAATTTTAGCATGTCATATTTTCATTTTCATTTGTCTCCAGGTATTTTTTGATTTCTCCTTTGGTTTCTTCATTGACCCAATCGTTGTTCAGTAGCGTTTTGTTTAATACCCACATATATGTGGCTTTTCTGATTTTCTTCCTGTAGTTGATTCCTAATTTCATACAGTTGTGGTCAGAAAAGATACTTGGTATTATTTCACTCTTCTTAAATGTATTGAGACTTGTTTTGTGGCCTAATATGTGATCTATCCAAATCCATGTTCCATGTGCATTTGAAAAGAATGTGTATTCTGCAGTTTTTGGATGGAATGTTCAGTATATATCTACTAAGTCCAGGTGGTTTAATGTGTCATTTAAGGCCAATGTTTCCTTATTGATCTTCTGTTTGGATGATCTCTCCATTGGTGTAACCGGAGTGTTAAAATCCCCTACTATTATTGTGTTACTGTCTATTTCTCCTTTTATGCCTGTTAATAATTGCTTTATATATTTAGCTGCTGCTATGTTGGGTGCATAAATATTTACAAGTGTTATATCCTCTTGTTGGATTGTTCCCTTGATCATTATGTAGTGCCCTTCTTTGTCTCTTGTTACACTTTTTGTTTTAAAGTTTATTTTGTCTGATATAAGCATTGCTACCCCAGCTTTCTTTTCATTGCTGTTTGCATGGAGTATCTTTTTCCATCCCTTCACTTTCAGTTTGTGAGTGTCTTTAGGTCTGAAGTGTGTCTCTTGTATGCAGCATATATATGGGTCTTGTTTTTTTACCCAGTCAGCCACCCTATGCCTTTTGATCGGGGCATTTAGTCCATTGACATTTGAAGTAGCTATTGATAAATATGTACTTATTGCCATTTTGTTACTTTTTTTCTGGGTAGTTTAGTAGTTCCCTGTTCCTTTCTTCTTTTGCTGTCTTCCCTTGTGGTTTGATGGCTTTCTTTAGCATTACCTTTGGGTTCCTTTCTCCTACATTTTTGTGTATTTATTATAGGTTTCTGGTTTGTGATTATCATGAGGTTCATATATAATAACCTACATATATAGCAGTCTATATTAAGTTGAATGTCTCCTTAGTTTGACCTCTTTCTAAAAGCTCTATTTTTTTACTCCCTTCCTTCCACATTTTATGTTTTTGACGTCATATCTAACCTCCCTTTTGGTGTGTATGTATCCATTACCCTCTTATCATGGAAATAGGTAACTTTAATACTTTTGTCTTTTGACCTTCATATTCTCTTCATAGGTGGTCCATATGCTACCTTTACTGTATTTTTGCCTTAACCAGTGACTTTATTGCTTTTTGATAATTTTCTTATTCCTATTTGTGGTCTTCTCTTTCCCACTCAAATAAGTTCCTTTAGCATTTCTTTTAAGACTGATTTCTTGGTGATAAACTCCTTTAATTTTTGCTGCTTTGGGAAACTCTTCATCTCTCCTTGCATTCCGAATGATAACCTTGCCAGATAGAGTGTTCTTATCTGTAGCTGTTTTCCTTTCAGCACTTTAAATATATCAAGCCACTCCGTTCTAGCCTGTAAGATTTATGCTGAGAACTCAGCTGATAACCTGATGGGGTTTCCTTTGTATATAGTTTCTTGCCTTTCTCTTGCAGCTTTTAGGATTCTCTCTTTTTCCTTAATTCTTGACTTTTTAATTATAATGTGTCTTGGTGTGGGCCTCTTTGGGTTTATCTTGTTTGGTACTCTCTGTGCTTTCTGTACCTGGATGCCTGTTTCCTTCCTCAGGTTAGGAAAGTTTTCAGCTATTATTTCTTCAAATAGATTCTCTGCATTTTTGTCTCTCTCTTCTCCTTCTGGGCCACCTATACTAAGAATGTTAGTGTCCTTGATGTTGTCCCAGAGGTATCTTACACTGTTTTCATTCTTTTAAATTCTTTTTTCTTTTATCTGTTCAGCTTGGGTGATTTCTTCTAGTCTTTTGTCCAGCTTGCCGATCCGTTCTTCTGTATCACCTATTCTGTTATTGAGTCCCTCTAGTGAATTTTTCATTTCTGGTATTGTATTCTTCATTTCTGATTGGTTCTTTTTTATATTTTCCAATTCTTTGTTGATGTCCTCACTAAGTTTGTCCATTCTTCTCCCAAGATCAGAGAGCACCCTTATGACTCTTTGTTTGAACTCTTTGTTGAACTCTTTGTTTATTTCTGTTTCATCTAGTTCTTTTTCTGGGGTTTTGTCCTGTTCCCTTACTTGGAAGGTATTCCTTTGCCTCCTTATTTTGCCTCTTTCTCTGTGCTTATATCTGTGTATTGGGTAGGTCAGCTACGTCTCCTGATCTTGGAGAGGTGGTCTTATGTAAGAGATGCCTCATGAGGCCCAGCAGTGTGCTTCCCTATCATCACCAGTTCCAAACGGTGATGGATTTGGTGACCCCTGTGTGGGCTACATGTGTCCTTCTGTTGTGGCAGGGTTGCTCTTGCTGCAAGTGCCCAGGGAAGCTAGGGTGTCCCCCTGGCCAGCTGGTTGTAATTTTCAGCTACATGTGCTTGGGTATGGGGACCCCCAGCACAGTTGGATGCAAGATCTAATAGCACATTCCAGTTGCAGTTTTTCTGTTAAGTGAGTAGGCCCCCAGCCTGGCTGGTTGCTAGGCTCAGGGGCTTACAATTGCTATAGGCCTCCAGTCTGTAAGGCTTGTGTCAGCTCTCTCAGGACTGTAGCTGAGTGCGGCTGGCCCCAGGCACTGGAGCACCCAATTGTTTCAGGCTTTGGAAGGTGAGGCTTATCCCCTATGTGGCTGTTTGGGAAGCACAAGTATTCTGCAGCTGACAAGCCCCACCACCCACAGGACCACACACTGCCAACACAGTCCTGCCTCTTGCGTGCACCCTGACCCCCTGAAGTTGACCCAGGTGCCCCACTGCAGAGGCCTCAGACACTCCACCAATGCCCCACACACTCCACCCACTCCTCATGCATGCCCTGCCCCATAGAGGCAGACCCACTTGCCTAGCTGCTGAGGATCTAGGCTCCCAGCCTATGCAGGCCCACAAGATGCCCAAGGATTTGTTGTTGGGTGGGGTCAGTCCCTAGGGTAGGCTGCTTGACCCTGGCTGAGCTGGATTAAGTTGGTGATCTCATGGGTGGGGCAGACCCTGGGCTAACAGGCCAGAGGAAGAACTGCAATGGCGTCTGCCAGTGTCTGTGTCAGCATGACTGTACCAGGTCACAATAATGGCTGCCATCAATGTCTCTGTCCCTGGAGAGGCCTCACTTCTCACTGAGATGCCCACAGAACCTATCAGGTGAGTCTCTTTTCACCAAAGGACTGTGTACCTTTCTTTCTGGTGATTTTAGGTTGCTTTCCAAAACAGTTCAATTTGTGCATGGGCCCTTTAGAAGCTGGCTTTTTTTCCCTTATGTCCGTTAGCTTTTCTGGGGGTATTCTCCATTGTAGTTAGTAGCCAGCAAAGCCAGATATTATGACACTTGTCTTGATTATGCTGAGTCCAAAAGATGCTTATAGTGGTAATGCTTCCCAGCTCAGGTCCCCCACTGCTCCAAGGAAGGCTGTGTACCTTTGGATTGCACCTGGGCAGCCGTGAAGCACTGTGGCTTGCGAAGGTGGCTTTTTTTCTCTCCAGAAAGGAATTTCTGACTCTTCCACCTCAGTCAGGACTGTCCCTTATTGCAAGGGTTATTTGTATCCAGTTTTCAGTTCTCTCTCAGGGGTAATTGTTCCAAGAGTAGTTGTAAATTTGTTGTGTCTGTGGGAGGAGGTGAGTTCAAAGTCCACCTATGCCACTAACTTGATACTTCTCCTGAATTCTGCATTTCTTACAAACTCTTAGTTGATGCTTGCTCCTCGTCCATGGTCCATGCCTCAATGCCCAACATGCCCAGCCTTATCTCCCTCTCTTCTGAAACTCACTTGCACCCCAGCCAAGCTGAACCACTTGCTTTTTCCTAAACAGATGTTGTACTCTCTTGCTCCCATGCCTCTGTTTATTCTGACTCCTTTACCTAAAAGTTCTTCATGCTCCCCACTGCATATCCCTCCAGCAGTAAGACCAAAGCATGGTTTCTATTCTGCCATGCTGTCAAGTCCATTTCAAGTGTAAGTGTGCAATTCTTTCTTCTCTTAATTGTACTTGTTGCTACTTTTGGCTGTTGGAACACTTGAACTCTTTCTGTCACTTCTTCTCCCTCTCTCTCTCTTTCATTTGAATATTAAGTGAGGCATACTAAAAGTCTGTGCCGAGTGTGAGGATTCTGAGATAAACAGAGTTCTTGCCCTCTTGGGTATCATAGGCTGGGGTGGGAGTATTTGGAGAGAGCAGAGGTGCAACACAATCAGTCAATACAATATAGAGGTGCTTTTGGAGGGGAAAGCATGAATGGGTCTGGAAGGACTGAATAGCTGAGTCTAAGAAGGGAATGAATACTCTCTAGACAGAAAAAAAAATACATCGCAAGCAGTAGCAGAGCAAAGAAGAAGAAATGGCACTGTACATGAGGGAGAGAGAAAGCCATGAGATAGTGCTACTGTATAAAGAGCAAGGAAAAGAGTGTCAAGTATTAACGCTGAAATCACCTAGGCCTCCACTGCTAAGATTCTCTGACATCTTCTCAAGGGCTCAAGGGCAGGAAACCCTCCTTCAATCCATTCACTTGACAAAGTTCCATATGGAATTCTGGAAAACTACAATCTAGTCTTCAAAGGTATACAAAGAAGCCCTGAGCTGAATAAACACTGAGGTTACTTGCCTGCTCCTTGGGTATTGCCTAACCCACAACTCACACACCCTCATCTTCAGAGGCAGAAATTTCCATCCCCAATCTTTGTGTTCCCCCAGAAGTGGACCCTGAAGCAAGGAATTGAGTGCAAGTAGTTTATTTGAGATGTGAAGACCATTAGGGGGAGTGGAGAAGTGAGACAAGGAAGGGAAGACAATCAACATATTCTTAAACCAGCTACTACTGTGGGCAAGTGAGCTTAATCCCATTGGAGAAACTCCGAAAGCCAGTGTGAAACGTATGTCTCTGAGTTACTGTGCTGTGCAAGCGTGTAAGGGAGTGTTGAGACATCATTTCCACCAGTCACTGACTGAATGCTACCAGGGCTGGGGATGATACAGGAGTTACTTTCCAGATTCTTCTGGAAAGAGTCTCCTACAGCAAAAGAAAGACCTTAGGCAAAGAAATGCAGGAGTTGGCAGTTGGAAGCCTGGGTCTGTGTTGAACTGGCGAGTTAGGGGGGCTGTGAGTGGAGTGTGGCAAGTGTCTGCTATATGCCCCATAGGATCCAAAGTCAGGCTTCCTTCCTCTTGCCTGCTCCCAGCACCACCTCAGCCCAATTTTCCCAGCATCTGACTTTGCTGATTCAGTCTCCTGTTTTGATTTCTCCTCCAGTGGAAACTTCTTTCCCCACCTGCCAGCCAGTAGAGTGCACACTGAAGTACTCAGGAAGTGTTTGTTAAATTCCGTCTGGTGATTCAAATCTGATGGGCCACCTGGTGAATTTATTTTAACACGACACTAAAATGAAATTGAGCTGACTTTACATCAGGTACATATTTTACCTGTAGGTCAACACTTATATTACATCCTAGCCCTCTGGTAATTGATAAAACTTTGAGAGCAGATTTTCATGCTTTTTTTTTTTTTTTTCTCTAAGCCTACATATTCTGATTCAATTATAACACCACGCCACACTTATGAGGTTATATTACATTGCCTCTTCTCTGCCCCAATTGTGTACAATCCTGCAGTATTAGGGAGGTTTTACCACAATTCTTGGGCCTAAAGTATATTTCCCCAGTGGTTTGTTTTTATGTGCTCTTTTTGAATCTTATTAATGGCATCAGACTTAGAGCCTAAGTGCCACTGCAGTTTTGCCTCTTAGCCATGCAGCCATCTTCTGCTACCAGAAAAGAGAACTAACCCCTCCATTCTCAGATCAGATGCCTCAGGTGATAGAGCATCCCCTGTGGCTCTAGTAGCAGGCCTGTGACTCAGGCCTAGCCAATCAAACATTACATTCCCTGTGGCCACTGTAATTGGTTTTGCATGGGGATGTGACCATTCGGTACCAATGAAATGCAATATGATGTTTGCAGGAACTGTTTAGAACATCTTTCCCTCTTTTCTTCTGGACTTGAACCCAGGACGATATTGGCCTGGAACTGCTGGTAACCACCCTATTGTCAAACCTGAGCCTGAGAATAAAGAGACCTAGGAGGAGAGTGGAACTGAGAGACGAGGGAGGCTGAGATTAGATGACGAATCCAGCTGAGCTTGAAGCCAGGAATCTTTCTGGCCTTAATAGTTATGTAAGATAGCACATCTCTTTTGGTTTATGACAGTTTGGTTGGATTTCCTGTCGTTCGCACACAAAAGATCTCTAACTGATACAGAACCCTAGAAAATTGGCTTTAAATCCCAGTTCTGCCTCTTGCTAGTTCAGTTTTTAAAGTTCGGTTTCTTCATCTTTTAAATGGAGAGAAAATATCCCCTTGACAGGGATATTATGAAGATGAAATGAGGTGATAGACACAACCCTCTCCGCACAGTGTCTGCCCCAAATGTAGAAATCCGTGAAACCTAACTGCCTCTTCTTCCTTTCCCACCCACTTCCCTGCACTGCCCACTGTCCTCTAAGTATGGACCAGCCTAGGAAAGGTAAATTTATGCACATTGGCTGCATTTTCATAATTGATAAAGTCAGAAAAAACACACTCATGGAAATCCTGATGTTCAGGTACCCCATGACCAATACCAGACTCCATGCTGAGGAGGGTAGAGGCCCCCAGCCGGCCTCACACTGCAGTTGAGAAGACTAGGACCATCCTTCTGACTTGAATAATGTATTTGCCTTCTCTATACCTTAGTTTTCTTCTTTCTCAAGTGAGAGGAATAGTACAGAGATGGTATCTAAGGTCTCGTTCAGCTCTAAAATAGTTTATGCATCATTTCCTGAAACACCTCCCTTCCAAGTCTAAAATCCCTGCACTTGTATTCAGAACAGGGCTAAGACCAGTGTGAGGCAAGTAGGGAGGCTAGGACAGAATATATAGGGAGGCACTAGCTCTCAGCTGCCGACCCTGCGTTAGCATAACCCTAAGAGTAAGTGCCTCCTTAAATTTTGCTCCCCAGCCACAAAACTTTATCACCTTAGTCTCAGCCCTGAAATGTTCCACTGAGAGCAGCCCTTGCCTAGGATATATGGAAACCAAATGCTGTGTTCACCACAGCTGGTTCTAACTAGCTAATGCTGCTAAATAACCTTGAATTTTGAGTTAGACTCAGTAAACCAGACCCTTTCTGGACCCAACTGAAGATGTACTGAAGACGTATCTGGACCTATGATTATGGGACTTATTTTAACCCACTATGGGCAGACTTATGAATCATATTATTCTATCAAGAGTTCAAGTTTTCAGTTTTGAATTAGCGTAAGCACCACAAACATCCCCCAGCTCCCACCCTGTCTTTTCTAGCACATCACAAGTATCACCATCACCTCAACTTTTCATAGAATGACTTGGGGAGCTTCTTCATTGCTGTCAGCCCTTATTTGTCAAGTATATTGACTGAGCTTCTTAAAAAAGTAAAACAAAAACCAAAAATCACAACTACCTCTGGTTCTGTTTTGTTCTTTGACAACATGCATATCATATGGCCTTGGGAGAAAGAAGTTGATTTCACTTCATTCATGATGAGACATATGATTGAGAAGAGAGGTGAGCAGGGAAGGAATATTCAAACACTGAGAACAGTGTAGAAATAATGAGAAACAGGAAGGAGAGGTAGGAATTGGATAGAAAGGGAGTCATTTTCAGACTTTATCTTTGATGTAAATAGTCAAGTGCAAATGAGGATATAAATGTATATTTGCCAAATACTAGGGTCTTTTTAGCATTGGTCAAATACTGGGCGCTTAACATGTGATGTCTTATTTAATGCTCACAACAAATGAGAAGACACTGTCATCTCTGTTTTATAGACAAGTAAACAAAGACTGAGTCAAAGTCAGTTTCTCAAGGTCACACAACTAAAATGTGGTTGAAGAGTCTATGTTGAAAATGAGATCTCTCTGACTTTAAAGACAGCTAACCTCTCTTCATAATTTTGCAAAGTCAGTGTGATGTTGATTGACTGTGTGCCTTTTATGCTTCCAAAGGTTTATCTTAGCTGGTCATCAGCTAAAAGTTGTGAGGGGAAGGAATTTTAACTCTCTGGCCACCAAGGGAGCTAGTATGAATAGCCTGCTCCAGTGGTGGAGTAACAAAAGAGCTCTTGTTGGAGAATTAGAGATTCTGATTTCATGCCTGCTTTTCCAGCAAAGTTTCACAGCTGTGGCTGTGGCCATGTTTGTAGCACAACTCGCATTATTAGGGTGTCCATAGAAGCAGCTGTAATATTCAAAAGGAACATTAAGGCTGTCTCCCCTCACACACCTTCTAATGTGTCAGTAACAAATACAACAAATACCTTGCTGATAGCCCTGAATTTTGACAGCTCTAGAAGAGAACATTTTCCACAGTTATTCCTTTGAGGAAAGCAGTTTTATGAGTGGAAACTAGTGCAATTTGCCTGGTTTCCTTACTAATCCAAAGCTCAAAAATTGCCTGTCTCTTTAGAAATTGAAAACTCAAAAAAGCCATCTCAAGGAATCATTCCAATGATGTTGCACCTGCTATTTTATGGTTCTCTGAAAAGGCATTTGTTGGTGAGAAACACAATTAATGTCATTTAGTTCCTTCTAAACACCCAATAGTGGATGAAGAATCGTCAGAGGAGAAAGTGAACAGCTCTTGAAAGGGGTAATTGTAGGAAATGTACATTTAGAGCAAGTGACTGGGCCAGTATTGGCTCCTTCAGAAGGACAGAGGGATGGCTCTGGCATCTGCCCAGGGCAGACATCCATGTTTTCTAGACTTAGTAAGAGGCATATGTGCAGAGTAAAACTAACTAACCAAAGGAATATGGACCATTCTGGGGTGAATTTTGTTTAATGCTTGAACATATGGGTTTGTCCTCACTTCAGATTCCATGTTTGATGCAGTTATTTGCATGCAAATGAGTCCTTGATACGTAATGTAATAAAGGGAATACCTATCAAACATCTCTTGTAATTGATGGAATCAGTTAGGTATTATCAGTGGTCTTTTATAACCTGAAAAATCTCAATAATCAGTTCTGATTGCTCCTTTTAGGCTATTTGTTGCACGTATTAAGTACATTATATTTGTTTATTTCTCTATCTCCCATCAGCTCCACCCCAGGCTATGAGCCCCTTGAATATTCCATTGCATACTCAGCTCAGTGAGCTCCTGTAAAGCTCTGGGTTCCTAGCACCTGGCACATAACTTATCCTCAAGAAATGCTTGTTGGATGCATTGACTTTTCATATATTTATGTATAATATATATTTATATATATTATATTGTGTTATAATATAAAAGCCTAAATATTATATATAATATAATGCTATATTATTATAGTATAATATCATACCAGCTCTTGTGAGAAAAGAAGCTCCCAGGCAGTGATCAAAACAACAGAGTTTAGAATTATGCATGAGTTTGTTTCACCCCTTGAAGTAGCCTATTCAGAAACAAGCTTTATAGTCTAGGCTGAATATATATACATATACATATATTCACTAGGTATATGTCCTTTATATATATAAATATATATATATATATACACAAATAACCAAAAGGGTATGAGAATGTTCCAACAGCATTGTTTATAATAGCAAAAAATATAAAACTATTTAAATAGCCAGGAATAGGGAAATAGATACACAAATTATATAATATGCATACAACGGAGAACTCTACAGTGAAAACAAACTGAGAGAACAACACATACTAGCATGCATGGATCTCTCAAGCAATGGTGAGTGAAAAAAACCAAGACACTGAAGAACACATGCAATTTGATACCATTTATATTAAGTTGGAAAACATGCAAATTATGTATTGAGGACTCCTCCTTATGTGGTAAAAGTCTAAAGAACTGCAGGGGAATAATAATCACTGTATTAGTCAAAGTAGGCTAACTCAAAATGAGTTCACTCCTCACTCATGTTACAGTCCAGCGAAGTCGATTGCGAAAAAGTGCTCCACACCATCATTCAGGGACCTAGTATTGTTCCTTGTAGTTCTTTCTCCTTGAGAACCTCAGAACCTTCCCCACACAGCCAGCTATGGGGAGGGCTTGGAGAATTACTCAGGAGTTTTTTATGGGCCAGATCTAGAAGTGATATACTTCATTTCATTCATATTATATTGGCCAGAATTCTGTCACATGCTCTGAGTTAGTTGCAAGGGATGTTGGCAAAGGTAGCATAGCTGTACCTCAAAGAAAAAATAGAAAGGGGCTTTTTTGAGTGGATTTCTTTGTGATTATCACTGAGTAGGTGGAGGGAGTAAAATATATTCAGGGGAGAAGAAATGGAAGGCTTCATCTGTACTGCTGTGTTTTATTTCTTAAGTTGTGTGGGATGTATATATAAGTTTTTATTATATTTTTTCTTTAAACATTCTTTTTTTCCCTGAAGTATGCCATAATATGATAAAAAGTTTATTAAAGTAATTAGATAGAATGTAGGAGTTCTAATCAAGGAGACTGGGATTAAAACAATTCTTTCACACAGAATATTGCAGAGAAGTGACTCAGAATTCTAGTTTATAATCCTAGGGAAAAAGTAGAAATTTTGCAATTTAGAATGATATAGGTACACAAGGCTAGATTCTTTTTATGCTGGGTTGTCCTTTGAGTCAAAATTGATTCTGGAAAGGAGTGGAAATGATCACCCTCAATTCAACTGGAGAGGGAGAGCAGAAACACCCGATTCTACTGGAGAGAGATAGTCCAAACACTCAATTCTCTCATGCTACTCTTTGGCTGACCAGAGCACTCTACTGCTTTGGGTCCTGACATATACCTTCTTATCAAAGGACCATAAAAATCTCAGAGTGGGAACAATCTCTAGAGGCGTGCACTCCTGTTAGCTTTCTACCAACGGCAGGAATCACCTCCAGCATTTTGGACAAGTGATCATCTAGCCCCTGATAGAACACTTTCAGTGAAGAGGGTTCTAGGCCTTCTCTATGGTCCTGACTATCCATTTTGTACTCCCTCATACCCCACTTTCTGCCAGAAAAGGGCTAGATAATCCAAGGTCATCTGCATGATGTTGTCACTTCGGCTGCTTTTCTTGGTAAAGGTAATGACCTTTCAACGTCTTAATCCAATGGACGGTCCCATGGTAAGCCTGATGGGGAATGTCTAAGAGCACACAAAACTTTCATCAGATCTTGCAGGTGCTCACTTATTATCTGCTTATTTCCAGACAAATTTCTAAGATAATCATTTGCTATTGCAAGACATATAGCCAAGATCAAGGATAAAAATTCTTTTTTGACCATCTAAAGTTGACATTCAGGCTAGAGGCCAGTCTCATGGTCATAAAGATCATATTTCCTTACTCTGTGCTCTTGAGAAATTTTGATTATAACTCTTTTTTGATACTTTCTATATTCTGCGATACTTCCTATATTCTGCCTTCAATGAGAAAGCAGCATTTGAATATATTTCCTCCAGTATTTGATGAGTTCCTCACAAGCCTTATTAATGAGCCACAATCTCTGGTTTACAGAAGATAGCCAATAATAAGGGAAAAATATGGACATAGACATTAGAAAAGTAAAGAAGAAAACAGTTTGAAAGTATCGATGAAATATGAGGTTATTCTATTTAATAGGAGTTATTAACGACTATCCAGCTACATAATAAAAAATAAATTATATTGAGGATCATACAAGATTTCAATGAGAAGCTAGTTGAACACTTAAATTACAAGCAAATTGGAAGGCTTTCAGAATGTGGGTACAATGGCAGTAGTACTGAAAAATCAGGCCACCAGGAGTATGAAATTTCCTCCTTTACCTAGACATTGTACAGTCAGCTGTATTCATGTGCTAAAATTCATAAAGATGCACATTTTTATGAAACAAGAGAGGTAAGATTGAAAGTGGTGGTTCCAACTCCTGGACAGGAGTGCTCAGTTTCGAAAGTGTCAGTGTTCTCCCTCCCACTGGAGTATAGATCTAGTTGAAAGATAAGCACAGAAGTCAGATAAAAATTATGACCTAAGTCCTCAGGAATATTGGCTTGCTAATACTTTCCTGAATTGAAAAATTCCCCAGCATGGCTGACTGATGATGAGACAAAGTGGAGCCATGCTCATTTCATTCTCCCAGATCACCAAGGAGAGAAGACACTCTTCCTGAGGAGGCAATGAGGAGCCAAGAAAGCCACATCAATGGGAACTTCTCACATAGAAATAAGAGAAGTAGTAAATAAGTGTTCTCCATCAATATATAAGATTCCCAAATTCTGTCTGTAAGCCTGATAACTCATTCCCCATAAAACAATGGAACATATGCCAGTTTTTCGTCATGACCCAGTAGAAGGCTCTGTTTGGCAGGTTCTGTGGAAGCTACACACCCCTCCGACACCCAGGAGCAGCAGTATTTTCCCTCTTGGCAGCCCCAGTGAATGCTGATAGAAATGCAAAGACAGTCTTGGTTAATAAATACGTAAGTAGGTCTGAGCTTCAATAGCAAGGCACAAAAAGAATCAGTGAGCATGAAATAAAGCTGCTTAGGATTCTGCTGAATGGTTTGGGGTAGTAATGGTGCTGGCTGGTTGTATGCTTCTCTGTCAGAGCCTGAGAGGCTCAAAGGGATTGTTCTGGAAAATCCCGAAACAGTTATAAATTTATGGTTACAAGTATTCCGTTGTTAATGTGCAATTCTAGCTGGGGTTTTAGAATTGGGTATTTCAATTCAATTTGAAAAAAAGACTATGAAGCCCAGGAAGCACATCGATCTTTTATGGTATACTTATATCGCCTTCTGTGGCTTTCTTTTATGTCTCTACAGTGGATACATGTACATATATGATTTGTTCTGTGAATTCATATATCTATATAAGCATATCATACATTGTCAGTTATTAGAAGTTTCTTATTCATAAATTGTCCTAAGTAAAATGTGCCTCTTTAAATATCAAAACCTCTTAAATATTAAATGTTTTACATTTAAAAGCTTTCTAAGTGGATTCTCTGAATTATTAAAAGAAGATTCTGAGGAAAAATTAAGCATTTCTTAATTTCATCATTATGAACATAGATGACTGTAGGATGAACTTGGGTTACTGAAATATTTAGAGAAGTTTCCCCTTACATGTAATGGCTGTCTGTGCTTACAATCTCTCTGTCACTATCTGCTGTTAGATATTTTTAAGATAAAATTTACACATAGTGAAATGCACAGATCTTATGTGCATAATTCGATTGGGTTTTGGTAAATGTTATACTTGTGTTACCACCACCCCAATCAAGACATAGGACATTTTCATCACCACAGAGAGTTCCCTTACGTCCCCTTCTAGTTAATCCCCACTCTCTCCATAGGCAACCACTATGCTGATTTTCATTGTACAAATTAACTTTGCCTATTCTTGAATTTCATATACATAGAGTCAACTGTATGCAGTCCTTTATGTCTAGCTTCTTTCACTCAACATGACATTTTTGAGATTCATCCATGCTGTTGCATATATGTGTAGTTACTCGTATTGTTGATTCATATGTCATCGTTGGAGTAATCACAATATGTCCTTCCATTCTCCTATTGCTGAATGTTTGGGTTGTTTCTTCTTTTCCTCTTATGAATAAAGCTGTAGTAAACATTTATATAAAAATCTGGATAAACATATGGAAAAAAAAAACCTTGGGGCCCTATATCAAATCACACGCAAAAATATATCTGTGATAGATCATAAAACTAAAAATAGAAGCTAAAAGCATAAGCCTTCTGGGAAAAAAGAAATATAGATTATCTTCACGACCTTGGGGTAGGAAAATATTTCTTAGATACACCACAAAAAGTACTCAACATAAAATAAAAGTCGATAAATTAGACCTCATGAAAATAAAAGCTCATCAAAACACATGATTAGAAAAACAAGAAATTACTGTCAATGTATTGCAGGCGTTGAAATGTATTGGAAATACATCTGACAAAGAAGTTGTATCCAGAATAAGTAAAGACTCCTACAAATCAACCATAAAAAGACACTCTAATAAAAAGTTGACAAAAGATTTGAAAAGACACTTCCCAATAGAAGATATGTGAATGGCCAATACATACATGAAAAATGCTCAACATCATTAGTCACAAGGGAAATACAAATCAAATAACAATGATATACCATTTTGTAACCACATGAATGCTAAAATTAAAGACTGACAATACCAAATGCTGGTAAGAATGTGGAACACTGGAACCCTATACATTGGTGATGGAAATGTGAAATGATATCACCACCTTAGAAAATTGCTTGGCAATTTCTTAGAAATCTAAACATATATTGCTACCTAGAAATTCTATCTCTAGGTATTTACACAAGAGAAATGAAGACTTATGTTCTACAGTTTTTGTTTTTTTTTTTTTTGGATGATTTTATATAGGATGCTTTGAAGAGCTTTGCTTTAAGGTAGGAGGAAAAACAGTACAGTCAAAGGAGGCCAGCATCATCTGAGCACTCACCATGCACCAGATATTGTTCAAGACAGGCTACACACATTGTTACAGGAGATATGTGACTTTCCTGAAGGTAAGCAAATAATAAATAGCAGATAAGGCTTTCTTTTACTACTTGATGCATTCATCAAATATTTAATAAGTTTCTATTGGTGTTGGGCACTGTTCTGGGTGCTGAATATACTTCATGAAAAAAATCTAAAGGACAAGGTTTCTGTTCTAATGGTACTTAAACTCTAGTGGGGATTGGGGAACCAAAAAATATAACAAATAAAAAAGTTGCTCCTGATAGCAGAAACTATTGAGAAGAAATAGAAACAAGGTAACAGGATAGAGCGACTGCGGGGTGGAGCCATGTTAGATAAGGTAGCCACAGAAGGAATTTCTGAGGAGATTATGTATTCAGGATGATATTGCAATGATAAGAAAGAATCAGGCTCATGAAGATCTGGAGAAGAGTAATCCAGATAGAAGGAAGAGTCAGAGCAAAGGTCCTGGGTTGAGAACTAGCCTGATGAGTTCAAGGAATAAATAAAGCCTGTATGACTGGAGACAGAGGGTGACAGGAGACGAGGTTGGAAAGGCGGGAAGGGGCCAGATCATGCAATGCCTTAGACGCTATGGTAAAAATTTCAGGTTTTATTCTAAACTCAATGGAACTCTATTGGAAGGTGTTAAGCCAAGGTTTTTAAGATCTGTGCCAGGGACATTGTCAAAGCTCAGTTGAAGATAACCACAATTATTACAGCAGAATCTGACTTGAGGGTTGATCATATCGCTTTTTAAATAAAGTCAAGTACATATTCACTTATTAATTTATCTACTCAATAAATATTAATTGAGCACTACTATCAGCCCAATACTTTTCTAGGCAGAAAAACACAATCACAAATTGCACAATTGAAACCCCTCCCCTTGTGGAGTTTATCATCTATTCCTGTGCTTCTCTAGCCTGGTGGCATAATTAGAATCACCTGGAAAGTTAAGACAAAAAAGGAAAAGAAAAGAAACTAACAGAGCCTATTACTTTTTCCATCTCTTCAGATTATTTTAATGTGCACACTGAGGCGAGCACAACCACGCTTTTCTTAGACACATGGGGGCAGCATGAGGTAGATACAGAAGTTTACAAAAAAATTTTTTAGCCTTGTTTTCAAATAAATATTTAACAAAGTTGAAGCATAAATAAACTTCAAAGTGCAGCCCCTGTATTGGCCAGCAAGTAGCAGAACTGAGACTTGAATCCATATCTTTCTATTTTATTTTACTATTTTATTTTATTTTTTTATTTTTTTGGTGAGGAAGATTGACCCTGAGCTAACATCTGTTGCCAATTTGCCTCTTTTTGCTTGAGGAAGATTGGCCCTGAGCTAACATCTGTGCCAATCTTCTCCTATTTCGTACGTGGGACACTGCCACAGCATAGTTTCATGAGCGGTGCGTAGGTCCGGGTCTGGAATCCATACCCATGAACCTCAGGCTGCTAAAGCAGACCATGCAAA